TCTTTTTACCAGCTGTGCGATCCTTTAGGTAACAGCGTCTTGGGACCTGGGCTTCATGCCTCTTTCATGAAGTTTTAAAGCCTGGAGATACTGTCTACAAAGCACTTAGGACACAGCAGGTGCTAAATGCGGGACAACTGCTATTACTTGTCATCTACGAATGGTCAGCATTCAGGCAGGCGACTGTAGGATGCTAACAAGGACGGACAGGCAGGCGGTCAAGAGACGACGTTAACTTAGCACTGTGTTCACTGGAGAGGCGAGAGAGCAGGCACAGGAGTGCTCGTGATTCTTTCAGCTCTTCTTATGTGTACATTTTTTTGTAACAAAATGTTGGGAAGAATTAGACTACTCATGTTGACATGAATCTGCAGATTAAGGAGTAAGTTGGTTGCTCATCTAGGGTGTTTGGAGGTTCAAATTCCACCCAAGCCAGCTCAGTACCAGGAGGCACCAGAGGATTCTGGGACCTCAGGCAGGCTCACGGTGGCCCTGGGGGGACAGTCACACACGCTGTAAACAGCTAAGACTGAGCCGCAGGGCCTGGTGTGAGTCTGTACGGCATCCCTACACCCTCCCTCTCCCACACTTGTCCACTCTTGGCCTCCTGCTCCAGGCTGCTGTGATGTGGCTTAGTGTTTACCCCACCCCCGGGCCGTTTTGCAAGCAGCAGTGTGTACACAAGGCTCCCCTGGATCCAGTAGGTTCGGGGTGGGTCTAGAAGTCTGCACAGTTTCATGCTGCTGTTGCTGCTAGACTATCCTATGTGCAGTGAGCCCCGGTTCTCTGTGCTGGTGGCTCCTGAAAAGCACCTAGGAGGAGTTTCAAATCACTATATGTCTCCCTACCCCAAAATCTAATCAGAATCTCTAGAGCTGGGCCTAGGGGTCAGCGCTTTTTTCAGGTCTCCCAGTACAGCCCACATCCTACCCTGCATCTAGCTTCTCTCCTCTGAGCTGAGAGGGCAGTCAACACTCACACTCCAAGAAAAGCCTCATGATTGTGTACTAGGTGATAAGTACCACGAGTCCCACGCGACCGGCCACTGGTGACAGGCAGATGGTAGCAAGCACAGCCCCACCAGCCTGCAGGCTCGCCAGGCCTTTTCTCCCAGGCGGCCACCGCCCCAAGCCCAGCACCAAGGCTACTGCTAATCTCCGCCTCGAGTGCGGAAGGCAAAGGCGGAGACCAAGCTGCCTGTTCCCCGGCACTGGGTCTCACTGTCACGGTCACCTGCCCGGCAGGGCACCTGAGTCTTCCCCCACCACAAATGGGCTCACAGAGCTTGATAAAAACCTCCGGTCTTGAACTCTGCAGTTTGCCTGGCTTCCACTCTATTATTTTATGATTACTTTATTAAATTATATATTCATGTATAAATTGCAAATCTATATTTGGAAGTCATAAATATGCAATTCTGTTCTTGTATGATTTTGTGTTTCTCTTTCACTATGAGACTTTCAGGAAGGGGCAGATATCTGAGCTGGGAAGGACTCAGGGCCCTTGAGAGCTGGCCTTGGTCAGCGATAAACTGCAGGAAAATGTCTTGTAAGCTCTTAGGAGCCCCGGTCTCGTCCCTTTCGTACAAGATGTGCGATCAGATGAAGCACAGCATGGAAACCAGTCAAAGCTTTTGTGGGAGGGGGACAATGTTCATCTGAGGGAAAACCTGGGGAAAATCAATATAAAGTCAGAAGTGTGAGCAATTCTAGCCTCAGTTTCACCCACGGTCAGCCCCTGTGCCCCAGGGAGCTGTGACCACCCCACTGCCTTCAATAAAGCAAGGGTGGGAGGAAGGTAGCTTTCCCAAAAACAGTGGGTCAAAGTTGGTAAAGATCTGGTGGATACCTTAGAGAAAGTAAAGTTCATTAGATCAAAAGTGCATTAATACAAACAGGAGTTTCAGCACCTGTCCTCGGGTTTTGAGCAACAGCACAGACTCTGGAAAAGAATCACACTTTAAGCCTCTCCACAGTGATAAAATTAACCACACTAGGCTCTGGCTGATGGAAAGAGATGAGTTCTACTCAACTTCCCTATGCCTTTGATGTCCACGGGTATCTCCCAGGCTGAACCCAAGAGCTGGAAGCAGCAGGGAGGCCAGCAGCAGTTCTAACACTGATGCAGGGTCATCTGTAGCTGGGGGGCTAATAGCATCCTAGGCTCCCGCCAGGGCTCAACATTTTCCCCATGCAAACTCAGAAGGCAGAGAGAGGTGCACTGAAATTGATCGCTCACACCCAAAAAGCACTGATGGCTCCAAATCCCTCGGAGATGGCCGCCCCAGCCCATAAGTGGGCAGAGAAATGCCAGCAAAAGACAAACAATAAACTATTCCCGCTGACAGGAAGGCTGCTGACAGTGAGCAAAAATGCCTTGCAGTCGATGCCCTTGAAAAAGCTAAGCGGGGAGGGCTACAAATACCCTACCAGAAAGCTGGGCCCTGGACTCTCAGGCAAGCTGCCCACCTGTGGACTCTTTGTCTTTTTAGGACCCAGCACTGCCGCCAGGACAAGGCAGAGAAGAGGCTTGCAATCCCAGTGAGACAAAGCACAAGATGAAGTCTCCTGCTTGCAAGGCGGAGAACTATTAAAAAAGGGAAATGGGCAAATCTGAACACCTCTGTAGTTCCCACCTCTGTAGGAAAAATATTCCCCTGATGCAGAGTGTTACCTAGCATGGGTGCAGAAGGCAGTTCCTGGGCCTGCCTGTCATCTGCCCTAGCACGGTGCCTGCTGTGGGCCACCTGCCACGCCAGTCCACGTGACTCAGAGAGGCTGACCGTATCAACTCTGGGGCATTTCACCCTCCTGCCCAGGCTGGGCCCAGGGACCACGTTAGAACCCGGGGGGAGGAGGCCCCCTCCTGCACCTAGGGCTCCAGGGTGAGCAAGCTTAAGCCTAGAGCTGCTTGGGGCCCCACCTTTTATGAGTGAGAAGAGCCCAGAAGAACGAGCCAAGGAGAGGCAGGGCCAGATCACTATCGAAGTCACCCAACACTAGACCCACTGTGCCTGACACTCAGGGCTCTTTCAGCTTTGTGAGCAATAAACTCCTTTTTGAACCTGAGCCAATCTAGGAAGGGTTTCTGTCACTTACACTGAAAAAAAAAACCCTGATGTATGCCTTCTTTCCCCTTCGTAATGCCTGTTTTGATGCGTTCCTCATTAGCAAAGTTTACATCATCTTACGTAGCCTGTGTGTGAATACAGAACCAATCAATCTGCCAATTGCCCCTGAGATTTCCAAGTGTGCAAGAGAAGGACCCAGGGGAGGACAGCGAGCTGGTACCCCCACTCTCCTCACTCTGAGCCCTGAGACTGGGTCCTTGCTGCAGAACTCAGCCAGAGTGAGGCTCTCGGGGGAGGAATCAAGGCCTAGCTCCAGAACCACCCCTCAGTTCAGCTGAGCTCTTCCAAGGCTATTGTGCCTGTGGGAAGACCTCACCCACTAGCAGCCTCCTTGGGCACAGGCCAGAGGCTGTCTGATAGCTAGGTCCCTCTTCACAGATGGAAACAGGGCCAGGGTGAAGGTCAGGCTGGCACAAGTCTTCCAGAAAACAAACACAATGAGGCAGGTTCAAGGCCGCAGTGTGGACTACAAGAGTACACCTCCAGACACCCTGTCTTTAGTGGGCATCAAACCAACCCACGCCACTTTGATACTTTGTTTTTTTGTTTGTTTGTTTGTTTTTTTCTGGTACCGGGAATCGAACTCAGGACCTCGCGCTTGCCAGGCAAGCGCTGTGCCGCTGAGCTAAACCCCCAGCCCCCCCCCACTTTGATACTTTGAGAGCAAAGAATCGTGAGCAAAGATCACAGAGGCAGCCTGCAAGGTGTGACGAACTAGGCCGGTGCCCTGTCCTCGCTCTGCCTCCAACCGAGGTCTCTGCTTCTGATCCTCTCCGGGCTTAACTGTGTCATCTGTTAAGGATGATGCCACAGAAACATGGCATGAACAGCTATCCTTCTGTTCTTCTGCCAGGACAGTTGCCAAAGCTCATTCACACCTGCAGTCAATTTGTGCTTATCACCATCCTGAGAGCGAGGCAGGTGTCGTGTCCACTTAACAAGGTTTGGTGCAGGTCTGGGTCAGGTCTGGCTGGCTCTGGCCCTCACCAGCCTGTAGCCTGCGTGCCAGGCCTCTCTCTCGTCTGTACAAGGGGTGCATGGGTCCACCTCAGCGTGACCCAGAGCAGAGACTAGCTGCTAAGTATTTGGCACCAGGCCTGGCAGGCAGCATGAGCTCCACAATGTTGAATTTTGTCCTCCTGCTTGCAAGAAGAAATCGGGGCCCTTGGCGGCAGCAGCCTTGCTAAGTATGAAAGCTGCCAGGAAGTAAGGGGCACCCCCTTAACCAAAGACCAGCGACCACCTGGGGGCAGAGACGGGCTCATCAATGTGAGAGAGCACTTCTGCCTGGATCCCTGCAACCTGTGCCTGCTCTGCATGCAAGCCCTCTGGACGTTCTCTGACCTTCCCACCTAAGCTGTATAGGTTGAATTCAACTCAATGTCTTGATAAACAAAACCAGGTACCCAAGAGTTCTATGCTAATCTCATGGCAGAGATGCACTCTTTGAAGGCCAAACCCATGTGGAGAGGGAGGGATGGGGCATCAGTGCCCTGAGATTTGAAGCAACAGCACGACAGGCAGGTGGACTTAGACCCCCTGGGTCTAAATCTGGCCCTCCACTTTCTAGCTCTGTATCTTCTCTAATTTTGTTCCTCTGTAAACAGCGTATCTAATCTACCACACTGACACGTGCAAGGCTCTTAAGCAGTGACCATGACACAGCAACGCTAAGCAAGAGTGCAAGGCTCAGCTGTCACCTGCCTGGTGATCTGAGCAAGCCCCTGATCTTCTCCCTTGGGCCCTGGACTCCTCGCCTGGGCATGCCAAAGGCCGCTCTGCTTGTCAGAAAGCCACGGGGATGCCTCAAGGGCTACAGTGAGTTCACAGCCCTGGTGTCTGCCGGGTAGACAGGGCACAACGTCCTTACCTATAGGTCGCCACCTCCAGGCTGAGACCCGTCTTCACCTGCACAAGCTCCTGATAATCCCGCAATCGCTCAGCCATGGCCAAGGTGAGGGCTTCCTTCTCATCCTCCAGGCAGTCGATCAGCCTCTAGGGAGAAGAGAAGCACTTTGAGATCCAAGAACTGGAGCTTCAGGGTGTCGAGCAGAAGGCACCAATACTGCAGGATGTAAAAGGGGATGAAAAGTCTCCAGGCTTATTAACCACACAAGCATTTGCAAGGATGGTTCCAAAGATTGTATCTCTTCCATATGGGAGATATTCTCATTGTACGTGGAGGATGTGGACAGGACACTTGTTTCTCTGGACCTTGTAGTAATAATGAATGTTAAGGAGTTTGTTCAAATCAGGATACAGTTTAGATATTGGTCCATATATATGGAAATCCAAAATATCCAACTGGTCAACAAGATGCTATTGAAAATAAGCCATGGCTACAATTCAGGGGACTTTACAATACTTAAGACAGAAGTCACTGAGAATTGAACTAAAATTGCTCCCAAAGTCATGAGTTCCCCAGGAATAAGCAAGTAAACAGATACAGAATTCTTTGTTTCACCCAGAAAATCTACTTTAAAATCCTCTCAGAAGAAATATGTTTTGGGTACAAATGAAAACATTCAAACTTGGACATAAATCTTCTTTTCACATTGTACTTGTACAACACAGTTAATAAATACTCCTCGCTGCTTCTTCCCAACTCTCACCCCAGTTAATTACCTCCCCTCCCTACCTCATCCTAGCTAGAAGACATGGCCGCCCCCTGCATCCCACTTCCAGACCAGTGGCCCCAAGTACCAGCCACACAGCACGCCCTTGGCAAACTGCATTTAAAATGAAACGCTCATGCTCACGTACCCTTTTAAACTGCCAATACTTTTTAATTAATACACATGAGGCTTTGTTTGTACCTTTTACATTTTTGTGTTTCTTTCCTACTTGTAAACTAGTCCACTCTGAGAAACAGTTAACCAAGCTGTCTTGGTTACTTTTCTCTCCTTGCTGAGACAAAATACCTGACATCCAAAATTAAGGAGGGAAAGGTTTATTTAGCTCTCAGTCTGTGGAGGTTTCGGTGCATAATCAGCTGGCCCCAAGCCAGGGTGGCATGTCACAGGGGCAACACTTCCAGGCAGCAGTAGACAGCAAAAGCAACAAGAGCACAAGGGTAGGGAGAACAAGCCTCTTTCCTCCCTTATATTGCATGCAGGCTACCTGCCCTGGGGAGGGTGTAGCACTCACACCATCTCCCTACCCTCCTCTTGCACAGGCTCAGGATGTTGACAAAGTGAGGAGCCTGGCCCTCTGCTGAGTCCCTTCCTTAAAATTCTAAACTTCTCAAGTTGACACAATGAACAACATCTTAAAGTGGTAAGGGCATGTCCTCTATACCCTAGGATATTGAACTGCTAGTTATATAGTTAAGCTTCTAGACTTCTCAAGTTGACACAATGTAACAACCATAACAATCACACAAATATTTAAACATTAAAGTAGGTCTTTATACTTGTACTTCTGATGTATAATAGGAAGTAGCAGTGTCTTTGAATGCTAGGAACTAAACGAGGCCACACCTACAAACACCTATCACTGGAGAATTCAAAAACTGTAAAACTACTGAAAGAAAAAACATTTTCCTTGTTGCTGGAATCTGGCCACCAGAAGCACCTCATGAGATCCTGAGCATTCACACCAGATCTGTAATGTCTGCAGAAGGAATGACCTTAACTAAGACCTCGCCCTGGATTTATTACTTTTAAGTGCATCATCACCATGCTAAGTGTTCTGCTTTCTATAGCAGTTCCATTCCAAGCCAATGATTATGTTAGGGTCTCTTTGTACATAAAGGGTACTAAAGACAAAAAAGCAAAGCCTACTTATTTTAAAGCAAAGAATTTTAAGAACCACTGACAACTGTCTCAGAGTGGACATATGTTAGCCCCCAAAGCTGGCACCAGTAGCAGATAAAGTAGTTCCCCAAAGCAGACCACTTGCAAGTCTGGATTTAAGGGACGGAGATTCAGCTATGACATTCACATATTCTATAACTAAGTCTTGGTGTTAAAGTCCTATATTCCCTTGCTTTAAATTCAGGTGGAAGGTTAGAAATACATATATATATATATATCTTAGAAATAATTTAGAATGTAGAAAATTTGATCTAAGCTTTAAAACTTAAAGATCTGTAACTTATTCTTCACAAATAAGTTCAAGTGTTGCTACACTGCTTAGTAAAAATATTGTATTGAACAACAAAAAATATTGAACTCAATTCTCCACCTACAGGTAAAGATTTCCCAGTTGGGCCCAAGGTGTAGGTACAAACTTTCTCTCTTCCCACCAAGGACACAAGAATAGCTCTGCATGCCACAGAATACAAAGAGCGAAACCAAACTGCCCTGAAGTGGAGGTCAGAACAGAGGCAAACACATTTCCATATGACTCAACCCTCCCTAAACTGCCAGAGGGAAAATCCATTGACTTTGGGAAGCAGGAAGTAGGAACATAAATCCGATTGGTTCCTGACAATCTCCACAGAAACCATATTCAACCTGGGTGGTCAAGTGAAGCTTCAGACTTGGGCTCTGCTTCGCCAGAAGTTTTCCAGCTGTGAGCCAGGTCAGAGGGCTGGGACATCAGACACAGGATACTAATTCCAACCCAAGAAGAAGCCTTTTTTCCTTGTGTTGCAAAAAGCTGGAGAAAGAGGTCACATTTTTTTTTTTAGCTGCTCTGTGAAGAACTTGCGGGCAGCCTCACAAGTAATGACAAAATCTAGGGAAAGCGCGTTGCTGTTGGTGTGAGAAAACAATTAGCTTTATCTTCACCCATTGTGAACCCCTTCTTACCCACACAGACTGGATAAGAAGAGCTTGCCGAAGTTTCCACCACTTAAGACTTTTGAATGTTACGGGTCAAAGAGAATTAAATACTGTGATGACCTTACTCAGAGACAAAAAAATACATGCATTAGTAGGAAGCAAGAGCTCGGTGTTACCTAAGTATGTGCGGTTCTAGCCCACACAGTTCCCTAAACTCCACACATAAATCTTACCATCCTAGGTGAGCATTTCAGAGGCATCTCAACGCGGACACGTGGAAACTAGAACCCAGTCTCTGACCCAAACCTGCCCTTCTGCACCACCCCTTTCCACAAGAAGCATCCCCTCTTCCAGGTGCTCAGGCCACAAGTCCTGGCTCACCTCGGAGACCCTCAGGCCCCGTCTCCAGTGAATCCATCGGCAAACCCTCTTGGCTTCAACTTTTAAGTAGGTCCCTTTTGGGCCCTTTCTTCTACCCTGGGCCCAAGTCTCCAGCGCGTGGATTACTCCAGGAGTCTCCTAACAAGGTCTCCCGTCCCCACTCTTGTCCAACAGTCCACTCTCAACAGAGCAGTGACATTCTCCAGTAAGATGCTCCCCTCTACTCAGGACCCTCCCCTGGCTTTGTGTGGTGCTCAGTGTCAAAGCCCAAGTCCTACAGCAGGCGTCTTCCCCCTTGCTTCCTCTCCCAGCCATCCTGACTTCCGGGCTGTCCCCCAACACCATGCACTGTTGTCACTTGAAGACCTCTGACACCAAGGGACTTTCTCTGTTGCTTTTGTATTTCTCCCAGAACCAAGCCTGCACACTAAGTGCTCCATAATATTAGTGGGATGGATGAACCCCATAGATGTGGGCTGGGAGTGACTTCTGCCATCCCAGTTTTACAATGGGGAGACTGAGTCATAGGAGAGTTAGGGAACTTGACCTGCCCAATGAGCAATAACCTTCACAAGTTAGAGCTGGAAATCACCCACGTCCTTAGCAACACTGTCCTTGCTCTCTACTTCTAGGGGAAAGAAGCGAATTCACAGAAGATGGTATCACTGGATGGGAAGCAGGTTGGGGTCCTATTCCAGGTCAGGTGTGACTTGGGGAAGCCCCTTCCCTGGGTGGCCCAGTTCCTTGTATCAAGGAAGGGCAGGTCAGTGGTTCTAACTCCACTTCCAAGTGCCCACCTCATTCTTCCATCAAGGTAAGTCTGCTCTCAGCTGCCCCAAATTTGGGGTTCCACTGAAAACCTCACTACGGGGGCAAGGATCTTGCTGCTGAAATGCACACTGAAACCACAGCTCCAAGGTATGACATGAGATTTAGACAAAAAAAACTCCACAAACCACAGACAGAATTGCAGAAGTCCCCTATCACGTTATGGTTTCTCCCCTGGTCTCCAGCTCTTTGAATACTGAAATACCAACTGGGGACCCAGAGATGATCAATAGGGCTTTGGTAATTCCGAGCGGCCACCTGTCACATCAGCACAGTCACTCCACATCATGTTCCCTTCACTTCTCTTTTTAAAAATTGCACAAAAACACTCTATCTTGAATCTTCGGCTTACAGCTGCAAACTGTTGTCTTAAAATCTTTCTGATTTTGCGCCTGCGTTGTTCCAAACTGTCATTCTGGGAACTCCTGATAGTATGATTTGGGACTATTTCCAATTCTGGCTAAGGCCGGGCAGGGCAGGAGCAGGGCACCAGCACTGGACTGGGTGTTGGGCACAGGTGTCAGCCCGTGGGTGTCAGCGATGAGGAGGCTGCTTCTCTGAACAGGAACTGTTTATATCAGTCTGTGCTTGTAATAACATCCCGCCACAGGGACCTGCTCTCCCTCACTTTTACACTATCCAGGGGTCTGACGTCAGCTCGCACCGTGAGCAAAATATCTCTGATTCCTTTTCATATTGTGGTTGGTTCCCCGGAGGGGTCGGGGTAGGAGGGAGCCCAGACAGCCACGATCGGGATCGGTTGCCTCCAGCTGGGAAATCATGCTGGCAAAATAAAGCCCATTTTGGAAACCAGCCTAAGATCGGGCGCCCTCCACACACAGACCTGCGATCATCTTAACTCGCAGACCTATCCGAGTGGGAATGCGCTGTCCCTTCTGGAAGTCAAACAGGTTTCTCGGTTGACTTTTGGGTCTGTCTACAGAAGCACGGGGAACTGAAAGAAGAGCCGGGGCTAACACAGTGGCTGGTCAAGATCTAAAGTTAACCTGACCAGGTGGCGGGGGCCGGGCTGTCCACTAGGACCTGTCTGTCCCGCTACCTGAAAGGGGCCAACGGACCACGCCCTTCCCTGGCTGGAGAGATGCCTGGACCCTGTGGTTTCGTGGCGAAGTAAAGCGGCTCTCAGCGCCTGGATTTCTAGGTCTTTCCTGGCGAGCCTCCCGCGTCCTCGACGCCGCTCCCCGGGTGAACTTGCCTAGGGCCCGGGGGACCTCGCCACTTCCCCACCCCCACCGAGGGCAGGATGCTGGGCAGAGCTGGGGGGAGGGCGCCGCTCGGGGGACGGACCTGCCGCTCCTCGGCCTGCAGCCCGTACTCCTCTTGCACCCGCTGCAGCTCATCCTCCAGCCGCGCGCGCAGCTGCTCCAGCTCCAGTGCCTGGCGCTGCAGCGCCTGGGCCTCCTGCGCGCACAGCCGCGCCTCCTCCTCTGCCTCTCGCCGGCTCTCCTGGCCCCGCCGCAGCGCCTCTTCCAGCTCGCGCACCTCGTCCTCGTACAGCCGCACCGTCTCCCGCCACGACTCGGCCACCAGCAGCTGGTAGCTGTCGTGCACCTCCCGCAGGCGCGGCGGGGGCGCGGCGGGGCCG